CTAGGAGGATAAGGGAGAGGCACATGTTCATCCCATCAAAACCCAAAACTGGATAAAAGAATATTTTTAGAGCATTGGGCTGGCATATAGAACTAATTTCCTACTTAAAAAACAGCATCCAGAAGGGTCAGGCATCGTAGCTAATCAGTGCTGCCCCGATAAAATCCAAAAGTTTACTGACATTAGTCAGGATCACTTTATTTTTTGAAGTCCCTGATGTACTTTCAAGCTACTCCTCACTTAAATTTCATCATAAGATTTGAAGTTTCTAAAAGTCTTTTAAAGAAAAAAAAAATCCTGCCATGTTCTCACTACCCATAGGGGCAAGCTTCAGAAGCAGTATTTTGTTTTAAAATAGTTATCCCTGGGCAAACACCGAAATCCAAGTGCAGGGAGGGTAATGCAACAGCTACTGACCATCTCCATCTACTCAAAGGACACAGAAAAGAAACTCTCTTGTGGGTTTCTGAGTCACTTTTGTTTCTTTACATTCAAACCTGTGGATGCTTGGATGGGTGGGAGGGAGATGTTGATTCCTGGAAGCTACATCACTGGTTGTTGTCAGTTGAAGAGCTCAGGTTTAATGGGATATCTCCTTGCCCACCCACAGAGGACAGGTAGGAAGCCGTATTTTCAGATGGGACATAAAGCGATGAATTTTCAGGCAAGCTGATGAGGTCGTTGCCAAAGATTGACTGACGATCGATGAGGAACTGCTGGGCACTTTCAAGAATGACATCTTTCTCTAGGAATGCAAACAGACAACAGGAAACTCAGTTTCTGAAAAGCCAATCACCACATTTCATGTACGAAGAACTGAAAAGCAGCAAATCCCCACTGAAACAGGCAATGAGGGGCCTCACCCCAGGCAAAAAATGCTTGGAAGCACCTAAGTCAAACTCAGACTTGCTCAGAAGGACATTAAAATCAATGGGAATCTCTGCAGGTTGCCAAGCTGGTTCTGCCTGAATGCTGAGATGCCTCACAAGAAGTGAATGGAATGACCAGTTGGTTGAAGATGCTGAGAAGTGGATAAGAGCAGCGTCTCCTTCACTCAAAAACTGTGTGGTTTTCCTCATCTTTGCAGAAGGAGACATCTGCCAATTGCTCCACCCATTATTCCAGCATCACACCACTGCATGGACCAGAAAGGCTTTGCAAACAGGGGATGCTCCTCCCATGCACTTCAGCCCCAGCCTGCTGAAGAATTCTCTCCAGTGTAGCTGGGCCTTCAGCACCTTTGATGCTCATGCAAGATGCTGAGCTTAAAGTGGAGACCATGAAATACATCAAAACTCTGGGTCAGGTGGCTACAGCAGCAAACTAAAGCTGACAAAAGCTTATATACACATGAAAATAATAATATATCACTATTCCAAGGCCAGGAAAACACTGCTAGACTCATATCTAAGGTCAATGACACACTTTATCAGTCAGTGAGTGGGACAAGATCAGCTTGAGGGATGGAGAAACTGAGACATAACCTTTGCCTCTGGCTGGCAGCAGCTACCAGGTCAACTTCTCTGCAGCAGGAGCTGGAGGAAACGCAGGACCCGTACAGCTCTTACCACCACTTAGATCCCCACATTGCTCTCAGGTGGCGAGGAACAGGCAGATGAGACATTGACAGATGTGACATGGACCCAAGCAGGAGCAGAGGCAGTTCAGTGACATTTAAACCTCTGTTTATCTCCCATGCGTTTCCCACTGCGCAGTAATGAGCTTAGCAGTTGTTATGGAAACGTTGCTGACTGACGATCAGGAGAGTAAAGTAACAAACGTGGTTTGTCCCCTCAAAGTGGCAAGTGGTCAGTGCTGGATTGAGCTGCTGACAGGTTTAACACAGCACTTACATCCCCGTTCCCCAGCCTGCAAGAGCTGCTGGTGCTCCTACCTGGGCAGGCGTTGTTAAGCTGTGGGTTGAACGCTTTTGAGGACATCTCAGTTGCATTCTTCTCCAGATCCACTGTGAGTCGCTGCATCTTGATGCAAAAATATAAACTACAATGTACAATTATACAAAGACAGGGGAGCTTGTTAGAACTAGGCCATTTCTGCAAAGTCAGTGCTTCATCAATGCTGCATAACTTCCATCAGTAATGCAAGCTGTCCTCCCTGCCCTGTCTCTCCTTCCAGCCTCACCTGCACTTTGTTAAAATAGCCAAAAGTGTGTGTTCAAGGGCAAATATGCCTGAAGGAGGGGGAAAAGGGAGATGTAATCCCCTATTAGCACTGGCTAATGTGGTGTGAAGCTCATTGTCACATGAGGAGGCCAGGCTAGCATCACTGTGGCTGTCCCTGCCAGGCTGCCATGCAGAGCAAACCCACAGTCCTCTGCAGCCAGCAATAAAAGGGAAAGGAATTTTCTTTCCATGTGCCTATGACTGTCTCGAAAGTAAAACCAGCCTTTGCTTGCACAGTGCTTCTGCGTCAATGTTAATTCCAATCAAATACTGCCAAACTGAATTTCCCCTTGTTTCTTCTGCATGGGTATGCACGAACCTCTGTTCTACTTGCATATGTTTCTGAACATGTAACAGTGCCAGCTGCGCTTTATAAAGGCACATTTTATAATGGGATTTGGCACAAAGAAACTATGAATCTATGGAATAAGTAGGAAGTGACATACATGCTAAGAGAAAGTTTGGTGTAACCAGTTTCAATCAGAGACTCCAGGGCATCAACACACCTCTGAACAAGATCTGGCTGAGTGAGAGAGACAGGTCATGAGTGTAAGACACAACTTCCAGCCTACCCTCAGGAGGTGCTTACCTGCTGGGCTTTACCACACTCTCCCCTCTGCCTATAAAACTAAGTGTTCCTCAGTTATGCACAAGTTCCACTTCATGATTACATTATTGTTACCATATTGTAAATACACGTCTCTTACCGGTGACAGGCTGGCTTCCATTTCAGTCAAATTCCACTCACTCAAAGGTAAATTTGGATTAAAGACCTGTTAAAGAAAAATGCAATTAGGGCTCTGAAAGGTGTAATGGTTCGAGACACCCATACCCTCAGCCATCTGCCACGCAGGTACCACTGCTGGAGGCTGTAGCCCTGCTGGCAGGGATGCCAGAAAGCACCGCCTGCCTGTGCCTCTGCTGCTCTGACACCTTAACCACGGCAAAGGCTCACGTGTGTTGGTTTGTAGCAGAGCCAGAAGAGCAAGGGCTGAGTCAGGGGCACTTGTGCTGCTCCCCAAGCGCTGCTGCCTGCCAGTGGAGGGGCAACACAGATACTTGGTACCACAGCCATGGCATAAAGCAAGGCATTTGTGTCACTGCATGTGCAAGTCCAAGCCCTTTTTTGCTGTGCTTGTGTCCTAGGACACTTCCAGATTCATGTGATTTTTTAAAAAGTGTTCCAAAGCAGTAGCAGAGGGCAGATTGCTGCTGCATCGATGCGATTTCCCCGAGAAGCCTGAGCAATCTGGGAAAAGGAGCTGTTGGTCTGGGGTACGGTTTTATGATTCATTCTCACTCTTGTGATGTTCAGTTGCACAAAGAGAGAAAAGTGTGTCAGTAACAGGAAAACACCTCCTAATAACGAGTAAGAAACAGAAACCTAAGGAGCCAGTGAGGGAGCAGGCCATTAGAAAAGCTTTCTGTAAAGTCAAAATCAATCACAGATACATGGGAAATGGCTTTAAAAGAATAAGATTGATTTCTTTTTAATGATTTTTCGTTCCTGTTTATCTATGCAAGCTTACCATGTACCTGCACCCGAAACAGCTCCTCAGGGGAGCACATCTTTGACATACAGATTCATTTGCTATGTACAGAGTTATTTGATTACTGGCAAAAACCTTTCATATACTAATTATATGTACAAGGAGAGAGAGAGTGAGAGAAACAGGTCTCCATATTTCTGTACATGCGCTTAAGAAAGTCAAAATCGATCACAGATACATGGGAAATGGCTTTAAGAGAATAAGATTGATTTTTTTTTAAAATGATTTTTCATTCCTGTTTATCTATGCAAGCTTACCATGTACCTGCACCCGAAACAGCTCCTCAGGGGAGCACATCTTTGACATACAGATTCATTTGCTATGTACAGAGTTATTTGATTACTGGCAAAAACCTTTCATATACTAATTATATGTACAAGGAGAGAGAGAGTGAGAGAAACAGGTCTCCATATTTCTGTACATGCGCTTAAGAAAAAAGCCACAACCCATTCCTAGAGAAAAGTTACCTGAGAACTGCAGACAAAGATCTCAGCAGGGGAAGGCAGTAGAGCTAAACACAGTCTAGGAGTATCTAAGATGCAGAATGTGCAAAAAGCAAAGTAACCCATCCAAAGCAACTACCAAACTAGCTAGTGTGCCATATTAAACCTATTTCATGTACATGTGTGAGGTCTCGTGACGATGTCTCTACCAAAGGCACTGTGTTTTGTCCTCTTAGAAGTTTAAATACGTGTATTTTCAGAAGAAATGTAAAGTCTAGAATCCTGCCAGTTCCTATGAGCAGGTCAAACCCAGAGCTGTGACTCTATTGGCAGCAGGTGACAGATAAAGTGTCACACAAGACCAAGCAGCCCAAGGGTCCTGCTGGGCCCAACACTCACATCTAAGAGGCTGGCAGGCTCCAGGCCGTACTGCTGGCTCCTCAGCAGCAGCTGCAGCCCTTCCAAGCTCCAGTCAGTGCCCTCCAACGGGTCTGAAATATCTGTTCTGAGAAAAGACAAGGGGAAATGTTGCCACGAATGAAACTTGCACAGATACATCTAGAAAACAGTGACTTTCACCTGCAGGCATTCAGCTTGCAGGCTGCATTTACCAGAGACATTCAGCTAAAAAAGCAACTGTGAGGCCCCGCTGTGCTTTACCCCCTCTCAAAAGCTGTAAAAATTTTCTCTTAAAATCCAGAGTCTTTACAAAAGGATGATTTTTCCTTGAATAAAATGTTTTTAAGTAGCCACTGGTTCCAAAAGGAGGAATTTAGTTCTCTGTAAGGACTCAAAGGAAAACAAGTGCCTTTCTGATAACCCTGTTGAGTGTTTGGGGTTTTTTGCCCCTAGTCTAGGCTGACTGTCCCATGCTGGGTATATATTTGTGGTATCCCTGTGAGTGACTTCCCTTGCTGTTTCATTATTTTAAGGCCTGGTTTTATACCTTTTCACAAAACTTGGCTTTGGACTGCCCCAGCATTTTACTGAGTCCCTCCAGCTCAAGGAGACAAGCACAGCAAAGCAGCTGAGTCTCGTGGGTTTTCACTCAGTCAGAGATGGGGAAGCTGAGCTCTCTTGCAGTGTCAGCTCCCCAGCACCTCCCCAGAAGCCTGCGGCCCACGTGGTGGTGCCCATGTGGCTCCCTCCTGAAGGTGGACCTAGCACTGACTCAGGGAAGTCGCCTCAGAAAGGTGACAGGAGGAGATGCAAATGGAGAGCAGATTAAAGAGAAAAGCATATCTGACTTCACAGCACAGGAGAGGAAGAGAAAGGGGGCAAATTATTTCCTTCTCAAGCCCAAGTCTAGGCCTGATAAATGCTTTGTTGCCTTACCAAATGTATGTCCTACAGAGGCTGTACCGTCAGAGGTGCAGGCGTTACGATGATGACAAGCTGTCATCTTTTACCACTGTCTGTGTATTGGCACACAAGTGACACCTTCTTCACTGCACAGAAACACCAGTAACAAATATTTCCTTATGACTTTATGTAGCCGAAGACTCAACAAGAGGGCACACAAGCTACTGGAGGTACCATTCAGTGGCCTGCAAGTCTTCAGACATGGATGCTGGTCTGAGCTCCAGCTTTCCCTTGGACAAACCTCTCTCACTACAAAAAGCCTCTTTCTGCTTCCCTGGCTCTGATGCACATGCTCTGACAGCTCTTCCTTTGTTGGGTCCTTCAATCAAGTCATCCACAGACCCAGGCTTCAAGGGTCCTCTAAGCAGATGCCACAGGTACAGGATGGAGCTCACCAGGCTGCATTTGATGACTTACAGCTAGCCTCCCTTTCCCCCCAGCTGATGGGAAGAGAGGGCCATGAAACACACAGTGTCACAGCTCTCCCTTGCTCCCCTCACCTGTCCAGCAATGCTCTTCTGCCTCTTCTCTCGGATGGTTGCGAGGTCCCTGGTGGGGCTGCGCCACAGCTTCCTTTGCCTTCCAAAACAGACTGAACCATGGCAACTGGGAGCACAGGGGGCTCAGAGCAAGCCCTGCAGCCTGGCAGGGGGACATCAGGCTCAGCAGTGGGTTTAACTCCAGGGCTGACTGGCTCTTCCTTGATCAGCATGAGGCACTTCTCTCTGTATCAGAGACAAGAGTTAGCAGCACACACACATCTGCTCCACAAAGGCCTTGCACTACTGGCAAGGGCAATAGCACAAGGGCTTGCTTCCACTTCCTATCAAACTGCTCCACAGAGTCTTTCCATTGCCCTAGATGGTCAAAAGAAACCAGCAACCTTGTTTTCTTTTCAGCAAGCTCTAGACACATGCTCAGCTGGAATATCTTTAGTCACATCATCAGCCATAGCTATGATGAATTTGCCCCATTCGACTGTTTCGCAAATATGGAAAATACACTTCATCATTCCTCAGGTGAGTGTTAGGCTTGAGATAGGTTGAAAGGTCACTAAGCTAAAGAGGTTCCCCTGAAAAAGAAAAGTCTCCACCCTAGGGATCAGTAAGACCTCCCATGCTGAAGTTAGGACTGGACCAGCAAGCACTCTAGAGATCCCAATGGTACAGGTCAGGATCTTGTGGCCCTGCAGGATTTGGAACAGAAGCTATCAAGATCTGACAGTCCCAGTCATATGTTTTACTTGTTTGGAAGCAGAGGTTTGCCTTTTTCCAATGGGAGAGGCACTCTGCATTACTTGTAGACATACACATGACACTGAAGTTTTGAAACGTAGCATTTTGTATATAAAAATCTACTTTGTATTACTCGTAGGAGACTTTACAGCTCTCTGTGAGACTGCACAACTAGTCTAAGTGACAAAGGCGTACAGATAACGGGCACAGGGCATGGAAAGCCATACTGAAATATATTCTCTCCCAACACTTAAACAGACTAGCTTTGCTGCAAGACACCATAGGACCATGTCACACATAAGGGATTGTCTAGTGTGTGACACTACAAAATCTCCCTCTGCATTCCCTTTAGATCATCTTCTCATCTCATGAATCCTAAACTCCCACCAGAAGCTCGCATTGATTTAGGAAGCACCACACTCCTGAACACAACAGGGCTGTGGCTGGCTCGGATTCTTGTCACACAGACACAGCACAGACCAGAGGCCACCAGATGGCACTCAGCAATTAGCAGAAATAAGCAACTTAACTTGAAGGTTATAGTAATTTTTTTCTGCTATAGAAATAGCTTCCAGGTTGGTTATTTATGTGTTTTTCCTTCTTCTTTTTATCTGGAGCTCTTTACATGCTTCTAGCTAATTTTATGGCTATGGTTTCAAGTATTAGGCAGATATACAGGCGACTTCTAGAGTCTAACTGCCTGAGAAACTGTTTCCATGATTCATCTGTCTACTTACTTTCCACTGACATAGTTGCAGCTATTCTGCTACTAGCCCTAAATACACTGCATGTCTGTGGCAGGAAGAGATAAGCATTAAAATAGCTCTGCATTCAGTTCTTATGTCACTGGGACCTTTTCACAGAAAAGTCATCAAACATCGGAAGTTGTTGTGATGCAACTTTTCTGCTCCCATTAGCAGAAAGATGTACAGTTTGATTCTGTTTCTTCTTTGTCAGAGCCAAAAGGAAACTTCCTTTCTCTCTCTCTCAAGAAACGCAACAAGTATTAGTGTCTCATTATTTGAGAAAGGCTGACACAGCCCCTGTCTTGAGAAGAAAATATAAAGAAACAAGGACTACTTCTCAAAGAGAGGAGTGGAAGTTCTCAGCATGAAACTTATTACTTTGGTTTGAAAGTTATGCTGTTATTATCCCTCCCTAATTTGGGAGATCTGACCCAGACTGGAAAAAAATATTTCAGCCCACCATCTCTATAGAGATCTGTGAATCGAAGAGAAACTTTGGTAGAATTACAGCAATCTTTTGAAGTTATGCATGTCCATACCCAGCTCACCCTGTTTTTAATCACAAACAGATTTACCTGTCATTTTCAGGAGAGGATTGCATATTTATTATGTTGGATGGTGATGCTTCAGTAACATCAGATATGATGGGTCCTCCAGCAATTGCAGGGCTGTTTAAGCAAGAGGCAGGTTCTGTTGATGGCTAAAAGGAAAGCAAAAATGATATAGATTTATCCCTCTGCGAGCCAGTACAAGTCCAAGGTCCTATCTAAGACAGTTAGGGTTTATTCACTGTGCCTCTGAGTCCTCCTTGTATGGAAACCAAGAAAACTTTTACCTACTATGCAGCGTTTTAATTTCCTCTGGTCTTTCCTCCAATCACACAGAGGTGCAGGTGTAAAATAAGCGGTGGCTGAAGTGTCAGCTACTAAGAGGTTTCACCTTGTCTGACATTTTGCCTAGACTGCTTATCTTCTTCTGGAGCAAAAAAGATCCAACACAGCCCAAGAGAGGAATATGGGTCTCTCCTGTCTAAGCGCCATGTGTCTGGTGTCTGCTTTGATGGGTGAGGGTGGTGGGGATCCTTCAGCAACTGTAAAAGTCTGGCTCTGGTCAGAAAGATCACAGTATCCACTTCTAGAACTTACTTCTTCCTCTCTGCCCTTGAGGTGAGCCAGGCTGGGGAAACACCACAGAATTTGGTGTGCAGGGTCTGTTTTTCCCTCCCACAGCTCATGGCCTCCCACATGAACACAGCAGCACAAGCGTATGCAAGCGTGTGCCCCTCCCTGAAACAGGGGGGCTGAAGGAATCATAAATGTCACTCAGCTTTGCAAACCTCTTCTCTTCTTCACTGCCAAACTCTTACCAAACTGCTTACTCTGCAATCTGTATTATTGCTTCAAACATTTTTCCACTCTGGCCAAAGAAATTCCACAAAACTCAGAGGCTGCTGTAAACCTACCGACTGTATGAAATAGGGGTCATGGAGGGGGTCCGTAGACAAATGCCGGCTGAACTTGGACACTTGTGGGGCAGAGATCCCATTGTCAAGCATCAGAGGTCTGTGGAGAGAAACAGGTTTGTTTTCCCAGCACATACTTACTGGTTTCTGGTTGCTCATACAAGGAAAGTCCCCTCAGCCAAAGGTCATTTTCCCCTGGATACTCATTTTTTCCTCAGCTGTAAGGTACAGTCTTGTCCAGTGTTATGGGCAAGAACGGGAAAGAACAGTTTTGGAGGAGGTCACCATTAAAAAATGGCATTAGCCATATAAAGAAGGGATGATCCGGGTTTTCTAAATCTTATTTGAAAGATGCAAGTGAAATGACAAATTCAATTCATATTTTGTACTGAACAAATTCAATTCCTATTTTCTTCTAGAGAACAAAACAAGAAGTGTGTCTGTATGATGGGTCCTGCAGCAGGAGTGCTTTATGTTTAGTAAATGAATGAAAACAAGAGAAAATGACAAGGAGCCTCAAAATGGCACTGCCTTTCCATCATGAAACTTCCTGGGTGGCAGTCCTTGGCTTTGTGACACAGTCCCAGAGAAGCTGGGAGCTGGTACATTTTGCTACACACGCACTATTGTTAATGCTGTGATGATCCTATAAAAGTGCCTAGCAAATCCCTCCTCTCCTCCCACAGTCCCACAGTCAGGAAAAGCATCTCCAGCGTTCATTTAGAACACAGCAATTTGGCTGAGGGCACCAGGGAGAGCCAACAGTTTTTTCCACATTAATGTCTAATGGGCTTGGCAGAAGAGAATTCCTAGCTCCCTTCATCCTACAGACACTGGAGCTGTATATGTTGGGAGAAATTATGGGATTGCTCAGACTCCAATTAAATCCCACTGTGAAGGGCATTATACAGCAGGACTCAGTGACTGCAGTGCCTGAGATCTCAGTGTTGTCTAACAGCTCATTTAACAGCCTTTTCCTATTCTGCGACATTAACTAAAGACACAATAAAAAAGAACATTTGAGCCACCCTGACATGGACCTTGTTATGGTAGAAGCTACCCCTCAGTACACATCGAGATATCATAGCCAACCCTGTGACAACTATGAATTTGTATGTGTCCAGCTCTCTGCTCCAGGAGACACAAATTAACCTCCCCATCCAACATTTCTTATCAAAGTAACCTTGGCATCTAACCCACCTGACAGCCTCCCAGGTCAGATGTGCCTGGGGGACCTCCTGACGTGCTCATCCTGACCAAACCTATCCAGAGCCGCGAGTCAGCACTTAGCTCTGTGCCAACAGTTGCTGCAGGCTGCACACTGTGCTTTCCTGCAGTTATTTAAAAGAGAGGCAGGAAAACAAAACTGGGGAAGACAGCAGGGCAGATATAGACACAAGACCTGAGGTTCCTCAAACACAGACCTTTGTGTTTCCAAGGAAGCAGAAACTCAAATTAACATGCACAATACTGTGTGAACTGCAGCTGGGTTGTACCAGTGTGATCCCTCTTCCCAAGGAGAACAACACAGTTGCTGTGCTCTCCTGCCCCTCTCAGCATGGCTTCTAACTAATGGTTTGCTTTATTGAAAAAGCAGTAGTTTAAGACAGCATTTTTTGGGCTGCAAAGCTTTTACAGAGAGGGCACAGCCCTGACTGTGGAAATTAGAGATCAAATCCTTCACAATCCTCACAAGAAGAGTCAGCCAAGAACAAGGACTCTGATTTAAAGAAAATCAACCCCCTTGAGGAACCATTCTTGGGAAGCCTGGCTCCTGTCTCCAAGGCATGGAGACGTTTCTGAGTTGCCAAAGGCCACAAGGTGGTAAAGATGGGAACTGGAGGCAGGTCCCCACCATCAGCCTGAGCCACAAAGCCTCCTCCTAGCAGTCCCTCTCTTCTCTTTAGATCACAATCATCACAGAGCAAGAAATGCATGGCTGCTGTCCTGGAAGGCACTAAGCTTCCTAATTCAAGCTCCCTCATTTACTTGTCTTGAACAGCTTAATTATGACCCTAAAGATATCCCTTAGCTAAAATCTTTCTCCACCTTTCTCTCTGTAAGGCCTGTGGGTTACGTGCCACCAAACCTGTGCTGGACGCACACCCCATTCAGTGACTGTGGGCCAACCTAAAGGTGTCTGTGGGCTGGCTGGGCTCCCACTGATGACAAGTGGCAAAACTGGAACCTGTAGGACCAGCAGTGGACTCCTGCCCTTTACCCTCCCACTAGTTAGCGTTCCCATCTCGCATCTCGCTCTGTATTCCCCAGATAAAGGTCACGAGCTGACACGGTGCTTCTCTAAAGACCACTGAATGGGGCCTGTCAGCAGGTCTGACTCGGCAGTTCAGCCCATTCAGTTCCCATCACCATGGTGCCCCAGTCCGGTGACCGCCTGCCTGGGCAAGCTGAGCTTGTGCTTTTAGTGAGGGGGCAGCATTATGCACCCGTGAGCGTGTGCGCACCACACAAGGGTACTTACAGCTTCCTCTTTATCCCAGTGCTGCTAGGGCTTGATTGGAGCTGGCCAAATAGAAACTGAATCAGCTGTCAGGAGAGATCAAAATCCGGTGTTAATCAGCAGAGTGATTCAGCACTCCCTGCTCCCGCAGCCGTTCTTATCTCATACATTCCTCCCTCCCGACACCACCCCAAAGCTGGGAGCAGCCATGAAATATGGGAGCCCAATTGCATGAGACATTGGAGCCCGAAACTGAACTAAGCTTTCCGGGAACTCAAACGACCTGCCTAGCTTTAGAGAAACACAGCCAAGTGTCTGCTTTGTGCAAAGGACGCAAGATGCACCTGCTCAGTGTCTTCTCCCTCCACTTCTGTGCATGCAGAACTCCAGCCAGCCCTATTAGATGTGGAAACCTGCCTGTGAAGTACCCATGCAAACAATCCTAGGCCTGGAGTTAGAGTTGGCCTCCGTCTTTAGAGACCTTTCTAAGAGGGTCTGTAAAGCCTGACAAAGACTTCGCAAGTGAAAGAGGCAACCCCCTAGGGGAGACCCTGGATGGAGGTCTTAGCTCTTTCAGTTGGGTTTTTCAGCCCTGTGAAATTCAGTGTGGGTATAACAGGACACTAAAAAGGATGCAGAGTGGTTTTGGTGAGGAATCATTTAGCAACATATTCCCAGGTCAGCTTGAGCTTAATGCTCTGCTTTGACCTCCAGACAAAGAGAGCATTATTATTATATATCACAGCTGTCTCTTACTCATTGCTCAATATAACAAAATAGAGTTGCATAAATGCCTCTACAGCGAGTGGTGTGGCTGGTCCAGCCTCAGAGCTGGAGGAAGGTTTGATGGCCTCGTGCATTTCTATCCAGTCCTATGACTCTGTGATGCCACGTGAGGGTCAGAATGGCTCTCAGGGGGCCTGGGAAATGTGACACGCTCAGTCACGTCAGCACCATCTGGGAGTCACTGGAGAGTCCTTTTCTAGTAGTGGTCATGCTAGACTTTAAGGGAGATGGCTCTGCAGTGCTCCTTCAGTCTAAAAGGTTGTACAATAATTCCTCTGCTATACGAGTAGCACCAGAAAATGTAAGAGTTGCTGGAGGTCCCCACTGGGGGAATGGCTATCCAATTCTGCAGCTTCAGTGCTGGCAGGAGGGGGAGGCTCCTCTCTTGTACGAAGAAAAGAGGAAAGATTTAGGAAGTCCAAAGGCTTCAATACCAGAACACAGCCAGTACAGGGCAATTACTGGGAGTTGTGCTTTCTTGGTGAGGACTTTGACAGAAAAGTGGTTTCTAACATCACAGCAAGGACTGACAGGGAAATTAAAATGTTATGTCAAGGGTGCAAGCTATGCTTTGTTAATGACCACTTTCCACAGGACCCATAAGAACATCACACAATTTGAAAGAGAAGGAAATAAATATACTGCAATATCAGAGTGTGAAGTTTACAGGACAAGAGAAAAAAAATCAGAGGAGGATGTACACCACGCAGTACAAGCGAGTCTGGAGTTTGTATGACCACTACCTTGTTGATCACCTTCTGTTGCTGTGAGTGGTTCTGCCGGAGAGAAACAACTTCCCGCCACAGAACTTCATTTTGCCTGAAAGTGAAACAGAAACGTTCAGTGAGCACAGAAACATCCCAGCAGCCCATGACGCTGCCATGCTGCACAGTAGACCCAATTGTGCAAAGTCTGTCTCACTTTGGGGCTCTTGCAGTGCTTGGCTCTTTTCAGGTGTGCCAAACGGTGTCATACAATGGCTCTCTTTGGGTTTTCTTGACCTCAAAAGAACTACAGACCAAAGCACGGAGGAAAAACAAATAACGAGAAGCCAGTATCTATAGGGAAGGGTAACAGGAAGACATGCATTTAGTTTTTGTGGAACATTTGGGCCAAACTCAGAATTTCAGCAGGGCCTGATTTGTGACTCTGAATGATTTAGATCACCAAGACTGTTCTTCCTGCAGCAGCCAAGAAAGCCCAACCTCTCCACAGCTGCCTCCAAAACCCAAGAGATCCTATGGACAGAGATCCTATGTGTTCTGCCTGCTGAAACCTCATAGACATAAAGGTACAAAGGCATGTTTGGGAGTAAAGGGAGCAGCTAAAGAGATGATTCTGCATCTGGGAGCTTTGAACTAGGAGGACTGTAATGATTTTTATTGTGGGAGTCACTGAATTTCATCCAGCAAAAAACCTGTGTCCAGCTTGCAATTGCACAGAGCATATTTATTTTCTGTTTGCAAAGGCAGCACACAGGGGAGTTTACAGACTTCCTTGAACAGGCAGCCCCAGAAGGTGGGATGGAAAGATGCAGTTTATTTACTGTGCTGCCTCCAAATCTGGATGCCAGCCATGTCCATGCTGCAAAAGGTTTTGCCAGCCAGTTTATCTCAAGAGCAGATGGACACAAAACTGACAGGCCAGCAAAACCTATCATACAGGTGAAGTTTATAAATCCTTCTGCTTTTTAGTCTTTCTAGTGTGGATTGATGCTACAACTGGGAAGGTAAGGTCCAGCGCTTTAAAGAGCAGAGTAGCAGCCCTAGTACAGCAGCTTGTACAGCAAGAACCTCTGCAGTGACCTTTCTGTATGGGTACTGACAGGATTTTCAGCAAAGCAGCTTTCCTCAGTGTGACAGCTTGTACTGGAGTTACGTCCCAATGGTTCTTCACCAGTCTGAATTTCTTAACATAGTTTCAGCCTGAGATTTCTCGTCCGTCTTTGTTTATAAAAACTGTATTTTCATCAGCTGAATGCAATTTTACCTTTTGCCAGATGGAGGAAGAGAGCAAGCCAAGCAAAAGGGAGAATTAATTAAAAGCAAGACCAGATCATTGACACTGGAGTTCCTTAAAAATTAAACAAGATACAAGCCTAGAAACTATTTCATTGCCACTGTGCCTGGATTTCACGGTGTGATTTCATGCAAGTGGTAAGTGTGGGAGTCATTAAAAATTGAAGTAGGATAAAAATACTTATCCATTGCACAAAAGGTGCTGGGCTGGAATAATGTTTCACAGCACATGGCGTTCTCTCAAGCCCTAGGATACCAGTGTCATCTGGTGATGTACGAACATCAGCTTGCATTATAAAAGAAGGTCTTGGGGTCTTTTTGGTTATTCAAGTGCTTTTTAAACAAAGTTCTTTGTAAGGATTAAAATTCTGGAGGCAAATAAAAACCTCTCCAAGCATATGATTTATAAAACCGTATCCATTTACTAAATTCCTAGTGACCATGTCTGACTCAGAAAATCCCAGAGTCTCAGACAGCTGGCGGGCAGGTGGCCACATGCAAGCAGCGTTGCATCTGCTTGTTTTGCTCTTATACAACAATTTTGGCCATGTCAGACACAGTCTTCAGAGAGATGGACTAAACACTACAGCAGTTCTTGTGTTCTTATCTACTTTAGGCCAGTCGTATATTTTGGAGATGAAGAATGACAGACAGCTTTTTTTAATTTTTTTTTTGATAGTTGGAGTGGGCACAACCCCATTTCTGCCAAAGACTCTTCTAGGTGTGAGAAGGAGTTACATCTCTTTCTACCATCATTTCTATCTGGAGGAAATACAGTTATCTGAGTTAAGTCCCCAGGTATACAACATATATTCCCTGGATGGCCTCCTCTGTGATTTCCTCATATGTAAAGGGAAAACAGATGAAGAGAATATGTCTACCTTTCACAAAAGACAGGTCAAGAATTGATATTTTGTAGACTATCTGGACTGCATAGAAATCCTACATATTATGCTCCCTGGGAGGGAGGTGCGTAAGGCTCCTCCTTTCAAACATTCCCCAAGACCAACAACTCTCGAGAAGCAAATGCCCGTAAGAAGCAGCCTGAGTAGGGTTCAACTCACTGCTTCATGTCCTGCACTTGACACTCCATGTTCTCCTGCTGACTTCTCAGTATCTGTACCTCGTATAGCAACCTGCTGAGGTCCTCCTGGCGCATCTTGGTCTCCTCACTTTTCACTACCGACACCTGAGGAGAAGAAACCAAAGGTGGATTTTACCAACACAGGAAGGGCATGGACAGACAGAGTCATTGCTGGGGCTTGGGTGCAGGACTTCCACCAGCGGGCCTCTGACATGGAGAAATACTGGGATAGGTGATGCATGCACAAGAGTCTGAACCATCCTTGGGATATTACTGCAAGAGTCAAAGGGATAAAACAGAGCAAAAAGTAGAAAAATGCTTTTGTACCGAGGGTCTGTTGACAGCAGGACATTCTCCACCAGAGTGGGAACTTACTTCAAATCAGCTTGGGGAAAAAGAAAAAAGTTATTTTGAGGAACAAGGCAGCATTGAATTAGGTTATTCGATAATTCTTTCTACTTGAAGAGACCAAATCCAGCCTCATGTTTTACAGGAATGAGCCTGAGCAACTGCTTTAACTTGATATATTACACTCGGATTTCCAGGAGGCTTTTGCTGCAGTCCCTTTTCTGAAGTCAATACACTAATGTAGTAAGAGAACAAAAAAGATAGGAAACAGATGGTAGGAGTAGATTATTGCTTCTATAATAACAGCAGATGACTGTCGGGAGACCCAGCAGGAGTTACGTTGTAGTTATCTAGAAAAGCAGGTAACAATTCAAAAGCAGAGCGGTGCAAAGCAAGCCAGGTTGCGCAGCATTACATGAAGCTCTCGTGATACTGAGCAACAGAGGAAAAAAAATAAAGACAAAATTATGACGGTGATCTTGGAGTTATGCTGAGCAGTCTATAGCACAGCGGCCCATGGTCTGAGGGCAAACAAGCGTTTTGAGAGTTACTGAGAGGAATGCAGCTGTGGTAGAAACCCTTGCAATGACCACGGCGTGCTGTTCTGGTAAATGTACCCCAAAAAAGGGGCATGGGAGGGTTAGAAAGGCACAGGGCATAGAGCCATGGCAGCAGGAAGGGCTCCTGCTCAGGAAGAAACAAGGCGTTTCCCGTTCAAAGTGGCTGAGGGACAGGAAACAAGTATTGACAGCTTCTCTCCTAGCAGAGGGCCCCGGGGGAAGCAAATTAAAGAAAGAGACAGCAGGTTTAAAGCACACCAAGGAAGCTACACCTCCACACAGACCATTAGTTAGGTTTTGGGGCTTATTGTTGAGGGATGGTTTGAAAAGCTCCAGTGGTGTGGAGCCTTCTGGAGCCGGGGACTGCCATGCCTCAGCCTTCCCGCCTCCACCTTCCCGCCTCAGGGCCTAGTGCACACCCGAAGGGCTCGCCGAGGCCTGCCCTGCACAACCCCTCACCTTTCTCTTGATGTGCTCCAGGAGGTGCTCATGTCCCTGCAGGAAGCAGAGGTGCTGGAACTCGGTGTCGTCCCGCTCGGGCTTGACGAGACCCCCCTGCTCGATGTTCACCACCTTCCTGAAGCCATCTGTGTGGAGAGGGCACAGGTGAATGGCCGACAGACCCAGGCTCTCCTCCTTGACTCCCTCCCCATCACTTCTGAAGGACATTTCTGTTCACTCTCCTCACTTTTCAAGCTGCTCTGGTGCTCAAGGCACAGCTGTGCCCTCTCCCCACAGCTGAGCATGCTTTTGGGCCGTATCTACAAGAATTCTAGTGTGAGGGCGAGCCCCATGCATCCTACTGGCCACCTTACACGGGACTGGCTCTGGGGACACGCTGCTGCTGGCCCACACCACACAGCAATCTCTTGGGCACGTCAGTCTGCCAGGAGCTGAGATACCTGTCCTTACGAAACCTACAGTTTCATTTGCCAGCCAAAGGGATTCAGGGGAAGGATTTTCAAAGGCACAGAGCAGCATCAAGTGGCAACTTTGGAAAAAAAAAAAAGAGTCACATGCATATTTGGAAATCTACTTTGAGTACTCCTCTGAAGCAAGGTTTCTAAACTGTATATATAGACTGGCCTAAAATTTACAATAGTGCCACTATATAGTTAAATAGCAAAGTAAAAATTTTACTGAGAACCTTTGTGAACTAGGCACTGAAAAGCTTCCAAAAACTTTCAGAAAATAACCATATTTAATATAGCTGTGGTCCAGATGTGGTTGAAAACCACACCTAAACCTCCTCGAAATGGTGAAAACGTCTGATTAGCAAGGCAGAGTTTGCAGGGAGAATTACTGTCCATTATTAGTTCAGCAATAAGGCTCGGAAAATGGATAAACCTCTGGGCATGCTACCCTCAAAAGCAGCAGTTTTTGAGGGAGATGTCACAGTACCAGGCTGCTGGAAAAAAGCTCCATATAGAAGCAAATGGAAAAGAAATAATAATAGGACACAAAATTGATGGAAAAGAAGCAGAAAATCCAACAGCTGAAATTTCTTAGTTCACATCTTGCGATATAACAGAAATGTCCATGCTGAAATCTAAGGTCAATACAAGGAAATCACTCCCTTGGCATCTCAGAGACAGGTCCTCTTTGGCAAAAATCAATAATGCCACGATAACACATGTATGTGAGATCTCAGCTTTTCTATCCGCAGTTCTCTTTCATGCCTTTTTCACCCACCCTCCCTTTCTGGCGCTCCCCCCGTGTCTGTAGGACCCACATGGCCAACGATCTGGAGGTTGGACTTACACATGTTGAGCTGCCGGACAAAACTGGCCATGTTGTTGTGTTTGAAATACTTGGGCAGCACCTCTTTGGCAAAGCGTCCTTGGTCGAACACATGGAAGCTGGTGCCATTCTGCAAAGCAGAGCAGGACAAAGGTGAAGTCAGAAGAGTCTTCCTGACCATAAGAAGAGCCCAGGAGAAGGTGATTCCCTTGACTCCTACAGCAGAGGAAGTCATGCTCTCCAAATTGTCACCTTGAAGCTGAGAAGAGTGACAACAGCCTTCAATGACGGATGCACTCCTTTCAGTTCTGGCACAGTTGGTCCCCTATGACTGCAGTTTTTATCTTTTCCTACTAAGCTTTGCCACTGCTTAGTTGAGAGCCTTGAATGTGAGAAAGAAAATATAGACTTTCCCATCTAAATAGCTGGTAGCTTGCGATCATGCTCCCTTGCATAGACCTCACAGAAAGACTCTGTTGCCTGAAGATCTTGAAAAGTGGGAATTGCCATTATAACCCTTCATCTGCTCACATAGGTCTAACTCCGACTCATCTGCTCCAGAGCACAGCAGTCCCAGAGGGAGCACTGCCTGAAGACACGGCACAAGAAACACAGCAAGGCAAGAAAGCAAACCAGCCCTGGAGACATCACACTGATCCAGAAGCTCTATGCGTCTTCTCTTGGTTATTTTTTGAAAGCACACATCCACAAGGGCAACCACAAAATGTTAACAGTCGTGCTTTACAGTCCAAGGTAGCAACATGCACGTTAACCAGATCAAATATCTGTTTCTGGGGCTGCACTGCCAGGATACGTGACTGCAAACCAAGGCCAACTGCCTGGGATCCCCAGCAGAGACAGACACACTGCAGGCCACGTGCTTTCCCTGCTTGGCTGCCTACCTGCTGAGAGCTACGCCGGTACAGAGAGGAGGGCCTGTGAGACACAATGCACTGAAACTGCCTTGAAACATTTTGCAAACAGCAACTCATGCAAGCTTTTTAAGGGACAGAAGAATTGGAAATTAATTTGTGTCTGTAACCAACACTTAGGAACATTTTCTCAATCCCCAACCTCAACAGCATCAGTGTCTCCAGGATATGAGGACAGGGGAACCACCTTAAAACCTATCTCTGCTCTGCATGGGAGGGCAGCACAGGGAATTTGAAGGAATGGAGAATCATGATTTCAGACATGGAGTTTGAGGCACATGTGGAATTTTTGCAAATTTGCACAGAATGGTATCTAGGAGCTCACACTGGCTTTGCCTGTGGAAAGAGAAATAGCTGCCTGGGAAACCACCCAACTGCGCAGCCTAAGCTCACCAAGGCTTTATGGAGGGACGGGCAAGATGCAGAGACCTATGCCAGTGCAAAGCCATCAGCCAGGATGAGGTATTTACCAACTCAGCTGCAGCTGGGTTTCGAGGGACATCTAGCTAAAGACGTGAGGGTCTGCATGTCTGGGACCAGCACAGCCATAGTCGTCGTCCTCCTGTGTTCAGTGTTACTACCAGCAGTCAGTGGTGTCAGCCTGGGGGGTTTATTTCACACTGCTCTGGTTTTTTGACAGAGGAGGACACTGTTTCGTAAGAGTGAGCACTCAGGCTCTGCACGCAGTAAGAGCGTACCAGTGATGTGTGGGTCCCACCACGCACCCATCACAGGGTCTGTAGCTGCATGGGTGCACTCAGGGCCGCCTGGAAGTTTCTAAAACAGGGAGTGTAATCAGGACCACGAGAAAGCTGCATGACCAACCATGGACTACTCATAGCCACTACATTTCCATCACCAAAAATGCCAATTCCCTCTGTGCTTAGCCTCATTTGTCATCTCCAACAATTAACCCTGCATGCCCACAAACATGCGACTTTGGGGCAGCTCTACTTCTTGCTCCTTTTTTCCTGCTGCAAAGACTGAACACAACTGCCTCAACAGCACCCTTCAACTATCACCAGGGCTTTCCTATCATTCCTTACCCCATGCAGCAGAAGCAAAAGCTGGTCAGGTGTTTAAGAGAATCACCACTAACCTGTACGCTGGACTCATAGATAGAGCTTTCAGAGGTGACAGCAGGGACCAGGGTTTCCCAACACTGCAAACTCTGTCCCCAGCCTGAGGACAGAGCTGGTTTATCCTGTTTCCCTTGTGCTTCTGCCCACTCACCCTCTCTGGGATACAGCTTTTTGTCCCAGGCTGGGCAGGTTGATGTAAAACGAGAAGCACGAGGGTTTTGTGGACCTCAGTGTCTCCTGATGGCCTCTCTTAAGAGGTCATTCCTTTGAATTCAGGGCCACAATGTTCTCAGAAGCTTGTGCACCCAAAAAGGTTCTCACACAAGAAACTTGGGAGTTGCTGCATGTTCACTGATGAGCCGTGCATGTGGCAGCTTGTTCCCATACGGCAGCTGTGCCTTGTGTATCTTATACCATGGGAGCACAAGCTGGGAGAAACTTTGAAAGTCTTCTCTGCCCAAGGCAAAATAAATTCTGCAGCATGTCAGTCTTGGCAGATGCTTATCTTCACTGCTTTTGACAGATCCATGGGGACAAACACCCTGTGCCCTGCCCAAGGAAGCTTCTCCAGGAATTTGCTAGGAGTTCTTCCATTTAAAAAACTCATTTAATTTCTTCTTGTCCAAACTACCATGGACACAGACAGCAGACTTTTCCTTTTCACCTTACAACAGCCTATAGTGTGTGTGTGTGTATGTACATATATATACACATATATATTTCCTCTCCATCATGCTAAGAAATAGTTCACAGGTCCTATTTCCTACGACTTCTGATTATATCCAGAAATCTTAGGCATGCACACAATTTTTCAGCTCCAACACCACTGATGGATAGAAAAGGAGGATGCAACATATGAAACTTAGACATCTAAAAGCCTTACCAAAACCTCCCAAGAATGTGGCAGATTGCATAAAAAGAGAGCTTGGAGGTGATGGTCAGTCAAAACCAAGTGTTAACAGCGTTACAAGTGTCACAGAGAGGGGACTATCCATACAAGTTAGAAAATCCTTCTTCATTTTAAAGTCCTCATTTAAAACACAGGATACCAGAACTCAGTAACTGGGGAGAGGTACGGTCATGTAATACCAAATCAGAAAGCAACCATTGCCTTGGATGCAGCTCAAACCCCATCTTAAGTTTTGAATGAAAGCTCTACTGGACACAAACATATGACAGAAAGGCTGCTTTAGACTTTTTTCCCCCCTTTAAACCTGCTTTTGTTATAGAGTCTCAATTTTGGAGAACAAATTGATGCACACAACTCATCTGATAACTCCCTGCTGAAGACAAATCACAACATCATTTGCAACAAGGCTTAATCAGGTCTAAAGCACAGCGTGGTATCAAAATACTGTACAAGGGAGACAAATAAATTTAATTCTCTGATTGCACTTAGTATAGTAATGCCTCAGTGGCAAGTAAGAAGCCACAGCAAAGCAATCTGTCCCTATGAAGCTGTACAGACAATATATCCCCAGGATCATCACACTGACTAATTGAAACATCAAGTAAAGCTCTTCCAAAATATTGAGCAATTTAGGGTGCCAGTCTGAGGTCTGTTTAAACAACAGGTTTCAGGTCTGAATGCTGTCTATCTACTGCCTTCTCCCAAGGCATTTGTGAAAGGGTGATAAGAAACACGTGAAATAACACAAACAGCAGTGGAACTATTTAAGGGCTTTGCACCTTTTCTAGGAAGTTTTAGGGAACTTCAGATTGAATAAGGTGGAAAAACCTCTCTCTCTTAAAGAGTTTGGATTTTTAGAAGATTCAATATCAGACACCCTTTAAGATGCTTTAAGTGAAGTGTATAAAACTTGGTATTAAAAAACTCTCAAACCAGTTGTCACTTTGAAACAGAAAATATTGCAAATAAATAGTATCAGGTATATCCAATAGGTGCCCTAACAACCTATCAGTCCTTTCTCTCTCCCAGTTAGCTAGCCAGCATTTGCAAAGGGGAGACCATTTGGGTCTCCCACCTCGGCTTCTCCTGGTGTTGCACACACCCGTCGTTTGCTGTACTTACACTACTCCAGCAGATGAGATGGTTCGTTTCAGGATCCTCCACCAGCGTCCAGAGCTTGGTTAGGAAGGCTGGCACATTGCTGGAGTATCCATCCATCACCAGGGAGCTGGGTGAATCCTGCATAGTTTTCCAGTGTCCCAGCTACGCTAACCCCATTGCTCTTGGCGTGCCTGCCTCCCCGCACGCGCGTGCGGCCGACAAGAGAATGAACCACTGAATTTTATCCCGGGGCCAGTGGAAAGTAGGCTCCCAGGGAGTCACATCAGCAGCGCCGCTTGCACTCTTAAAAACTCAGCACAATGCGATGGCATCACCAGCCCCGGAGAACAATGCACAGAATGAAAATGCACCGCAGCCGATCTCGCAGAGCTGTGAATAAATACGCAGCGTCATGCAAAGGGGACACGTGCTGCGCACCTTATGCTGGGAGGTTAGCGAGTCACCGGAGTGAACCCACCTACTGAGAGAGTCTGTGGGATGCCCAGGCACAGCAACGCCAGGTTTGTGAGGGCACCCGAGCTGTTAACTCAGAATTTTCTTGCCCTGAACGCTGGCTGGCACAGATGAACAAGGGCTGGCCAGACCTCAGGGCTGCACATCTTTGGCAAGGTTTTGAAAAGTCAAAATCGTAAGCTAGTTTTTGGCTACAGAACTTATGGCACTTGTCAAGAGAAATGATTTGGCTCTTGGGTGAGAGGAGAGGGTGATAAAAACAGCTACACATAGAATCTAGATGACAATATGCTTTTATTGTTGTTGTTGCTGTTGTTATTATTAATGCTTTAAATAGCTCTAAGTAGGTGCTCGCACTGTAGCTTTATGCCAGGATCATTTCAACTCAGAAGCTGCTCTTCAAATAACATTCATCAAATTTTTTGGCACAGCAGACCAAAACACACGCGCATCCTAATTCTGATGCAAGATAACTCACATGTGAATGCAGGTATTGGATGCAAAAACTAACGCTCTCGATTCCCCTAGGAAACACTAGCAATGTAACAAAAGCAGAGGTCTTTGCAAAAGGCATTGGAATTATAACCTGCAAATCTGCATTCCTGAGCAACAGAAAGACAGGATGGGCAAGGGAATTTGCAGGTTACTGCCTTGGCAGTGTTTTTCCTTGAGTGCTTTTTCTCCTGCTTGTGCTTCCTAACATAACTCAGCTGCTGTTATATCCTTCCAAACTGGAAGTTACCTGACAACTGGATAACGGGTGAGCTCACCATCACTGAAATCCCAAAGAGGAATTATCAAGGTTAGAGTGGATTTTCCATCAGATGACCACAGTTGGTTGCTGTAGCTCACTGGATCTGCATGGGTAAGTACCCCACTAGGCAGAAAATGGATGCATTGAAGCTGCAATTTGCTTATCTGTCTATTTAAGTAGTTGCTGGGCACCTGACACAACGTGCTAGATTCTGAGATTCTTTTCAAATGTAAAATCAAAGTTAAATTCTGCTGAGGTCCTCAGTAAAAACCCACAAAGGGTAAAGTCGGCATTAATAAAGAAGCAGCGAAGAAGACCTCCTCTACATAACCCCATAAAGGAAACAAAATAAAGCGGGCAATCCTATTTCTCTGTATAATCCTCTCTCCATCACATTTGAGTGTAAATGCTTGGTCTGCAGGACAGGTGTGCATCATATGAACAGCCAGTGCTGGTGAAACAGCATGTTCTGCGTGAGTGCACAGGGCATTCTGCAGCATTTTCCTTACAGCCCTCAATCTTCTTTGCCTCTCCTCTTGCAGACCCCCACGATTTCCCCAGGAAGTCAGCAGGAGCCAGTCACTGAACTGTGAACTGTTACTGGTTTCCAGGGGTGCTGTTCCTTGGTGACCTTCAGAGTGTATTGCTTCAGACTGGGGCAGTGTGTGAGGAACGCTTCCACCACCTCCTGGCTAACCACACAGTAGCAGTGGACCTCCAACAGATTCGTGCACTGCCTGGCCAGATCCACCAGCGAGGAATTTAAGTCCTCCGAGGATGTGGTTTGCAGTGTCAGCTTCTTTAAAGTACGGCTGTAGCTCTGGGTGACAAACCTAATCTGATTTACCATGTAATTATAGGTATTGAGTTGCAGTGTGCTTACAGGTATATTCAGCTTTAGGATGTGTGGTATTTTACAGCCAGGGACCGTATGATCAAACTCGAGGTCTACACAGAGTTGAGGATGCTTTTGACTCACAGCAGTCCAGAGCTCTTCTGAGATGACTGGTGTATATTTGTCCAGGCGCTCACAGAAAATGTCTAAATGGATGAAAGCTGCTCTTTTGGGCTCGAGCAGTTCCTGAAATACATCATCAGACAAACTGGCGTAGTAAACACCCAAGGCTGAGAGTTTGGGACACGCTCTGAGAACTTTCCTAACGGTGTCCGGTGCCACGTTGCATACCAGGGTGCGGTTGTTGATGAACAAACTCTGCAAGTTTGGGTTGGCGGTAGCTAAGCATTCAACAAGCTCATCATCGAGAGTGAAGGGCATTTTTCGCAAATCAATATGCTGAAGATCGATCTGGTTTGTCGTGTCACATATATTCCGTATGCTCTGTAGGATGTCCTGGCCAGAGTAGAAATAGGGGTTCTCCCCGTCGCACACGATGCACAGCTGCTGCAGTTTGTGGTTCTGTTTTGCCAGCGCGTCCAAGATGCACGCCACGTTCTTCCGGTTGACTTCCTTGGACTGGTCAAACACAATCTTCAGGTGTTTGATTTGGCTGAGGAACTGGAGCAGGCTCTGCAGGATGCCTTCCTCATCCTCTGAATCACATCTGCAAGGGCAAAACAAACTCTGAATCACTGTGAACACTGAGCGGAACCAGCACAGAGCAAATACTCTCCTTTACTCGTGTTTCTGCAAACATCAATGGGTACCCTAGACATTTCTTCTCTTCACTTGATGCCTGAAGAGTCACTGTAAGGCCAAACACTGAAGGAGTCAGGAGGTGAGAAGACTCAGTCTCCAGAAAAGCCCACCAGAGAAGTAAATGTCACGATGAAGATGAGCAGTTAGTAACTGTCGCTTGCCATTTTCAAATGGCAACTTAGAGCAACGTACCTAAGAATGCAGTATTTCCCTGTAAAACCCAAATCATAATCAGCGATTAAAAAACCCCAGCGTGTAACACAGTTTCCTCTATCATATAGAAAGGTTCTGGCCACGTAAGATAACATCATCACACACAGAAGTCACAATTAATGTCAATAATGTCGCAGTAGGAGCGATGTAAACGTCTGACGGGCCCTGAAAACACAACGATGCCGTTCTGCCTGCAGAGGTGCTCAGCCCGAAGAAACCCATTCCTCTCACCTGATCTCAGTGAAATGCCAAACCGAGCTAGAAGAAACAGCGGCAGCCCATTGCCTGCACACCTGGAAGGCCGTGTATCTATCCCGAAGAGAAAGGTAATAGAAAATTTGGATGAGGATTTCTTCTGGGATGTGGTTCCACAGCTCTGGAGCTGAAGCAGACATTTTGCCGATTCAAGTCAGGTTTAGGAATGGGAAAGAGATGAAACGGCACTTAATTCTCCAAAGTCCCTGTTCAGAGAAACAAAAAAACCCAACAAAAAGGACATGCACACATTAGTATTTATTTAACAACTCAAACCAGTGCAACTGGATCATAGATGAGGTGGCTTTTTTAATTTATTTCAATCATGAAATTACACTGAATTTTGAAATTAAACACAAAACTGAGCAAAAATCCGTTGGCCAACTGCTTTCCACAGTTTTTCCAAACAGTCCTAAGAAGCAAGGTGATGCTTTTCAGGAGTTAAAGATGTCAGAGCAAAGCTCTGGGGGGGGAAAAAAAAAAGAAAGCTTTTTCCCCTGCAGTGGGTTTTGCTACTCTGAGTAATAAAAATGCAAGGGAATTTTCTAGTACTGCTGCACTGGTATTCAAAAAGCTGAGACAGATTTCTCAAACTGTGGGGGAATAAAAACCTCTTTGCAAGCAGAAGCTCTGCACAGAAAACAGCCTTACATATTCATTTTTTAGCGATAGTGAAACAGAAGGCCCGCTGTAGAAACCAGTAGATGATTACAGTGGTCCTTGCCTGTGCTCAGACATGACAGCTTGAAAAAAATGCTTTATTACTGTGACTCCAGTTCCCAGAAACTGCATTTATGCATGTCTGACTTAGAAATGCAAACACATGTTATGTTTAACCGTTTTTTATGAGCTACAAAGCAAAAGAATAAACGCCTGGGAGGAAGATTGCTGTTCACAGCATCAGACTGTTATCTAACTTCTTCATTCATCATCCAAAATGGGATTTATCCATCCTCTGGATTTCTACACAAATAAGACTACCAACGTGACTTTTTTTCTTTTCCAACCCTCTCATAAACAAGGGATGGATTTTTAAATGCAAACATTCCCTTTCCTAGGCTAGCACTGGAGCATGGGCCAAGTCTCACAGTCCTCACTCTGCCTTTCGAAGCCCCAACTCCTGGAGTCACAGCATTACCTCAGCATCGCACGCTTCACTTCGATGGCAACCTGCGCTTCTAGACACCCTTGAAGTAGGGAAGGAGTTGAAAAACATGAAGTATGGAGTAGCGATGCAAAAATCGTAATGCAGAGAGGAACACAATTGCTCATTTTTCTAGAATACGCTGTTTTGAAGTGTGCCTCATTATCTGGAGTGTGAGGTGGCAGCAGCACAGCAGCTGTACTATCTTATCTACCATCGTATCAGTGACAACCCCCTTTCCACCCACCGCTGAGCGAGAGCAGCCAAGTGATACAGTCCTGCTTCCTTCCTGGGAACTCACTCTCTTTTGTCATTTTCTCTCACAATCACCTTGACAGCTCGGACTCTGCTCTTCTACTTTTAGCTGCTTTTAATACCACCTCTGACACACGTTTGCCAAAATGTTAAACTGCTCTTTGCCCTACGTGTCCAGCTCCTTTCATTTTCATTACAACATTTTTCCTTAGAGCCTGAGCCCTTGGACTCATGTGAAAAAGACCTTGAATCTTTAAGAGTGCCATGGCAATTGCTTGGCAAAAGCTTAAAAACATGGAAGGCAGGCAGAAAGGCAAAATTATCAGTGTTACTTTAACTGAATGGCTTGGAGTCAGTGAGGAGCAGGCCTCAGGGTCTGTGAACGCTGTGGG